TGTATATTATATGTGCCGGAATGTTCAGCACAGTTGCTGACTTTAAGATCCTACATATGGCTGTAGAGCTCCTCTCTGGTGGAGATTCTCAACTATTAAATCAACTATTTAAACGCCATTTGAAAGAGCAGACATTCATACTAGCCTGGTATTAAAGGAGTTCAAGCAATGGATTAAATTAAGGTCTTGTATAGAAAGGCCTTGTAAGAATATAAGAAGAGCGTAGTTTAAGGAGAAAAGTTTCTGTCTGATGGTTACAAGTTTCTGTGTTAGTCTGTTTCAGCAAAAACAAGAAGCCCCAAGGCAACTTAAAGACTAGGGGTATGTCTACACTACCCCGCTAGTTCGAACTAGCGGGGTAGTGTAGACATACCCCTAGTCTTTAAGTTGCCTTGGGGCTTCTTGTTTTTGCTGAAACAGACTAACACAGAAACTTGTAACCATCAGACAGAAACTTTTCTCCTTAAACTACGCTCTTCTTATATTCTTACAAGGCCTTTCTATACAAGACCTTAATTTAATCCATTGCTTGAACTCCTTTAATACCAGGCTAGTATGAATGTCTGCTCTTTCAAATGGCGTTTAAATAGTTGATTTAATAGTTGAGAATCTCCACCAGAGAGGAGCTCTACAGCCATATGTAGGATCTTAAAGTCAGCAACTGTGCTGAACATTCCGGCACATATAATATACACGATTTTGAAAAGCACTGTTATGTTTTCTAGACTCAGTTTCTGACTACTCTGGAATTCACTTTGTCAGATGCATGAAATGGAAATTTCAGTTTGTAAGGGACATGTATACGTGCAAAGATGGAAGTGTTGCATTATTCTGCAGAGGGTCACTGTTAGTCAATTGAATCAGGATGGATGTGGCCCATTTGCAATAGTTGATGAGAAGATGCAAATAACAAAAGAAGGAAAACTACTTTTCATAGTGAGCTAGACACTCCCAGTTGGATAGAATCAAGTTTGCATAGAAGTTCCAGTTCTGATGGTTGTTATCTCAGTTACCAGCAAAGCCAAAAGACAGACAGAGACAATCTTGGGCTATATATTTTCTTTCAAGAGAAGAGTAACTATTTTTAATGTGTCAAAAATGTACAAGCTTTGGGTCTACTTGTTCGCCACTGACATTTTCCACTGTCAATTTTCCATGGTGGGCCTGACCCTTACTTTTCTTTTTCTTCTCCCCATCCCTAGAGCGCAGGGGGGAGGGAGCGAACATGCATGCCGGGACATGGCATGCTTTTGATTCCATTCTCTGGAAGCTAAGGGAGCATGGGTAAAGTGCTTGCATGGCATACAGGCTTCTCATGTTTGGCTGGTAAGTGAGAGACATGCAGGGGATGGGCAGGAGACAGAGGGGACAGGAGCTGAGGAAGCAGCACGAGCAAACAGCAGCCAATGGGACCTGAGAAGCTCTATGCCCTGCAGTCTGTATGTCCCTGAGCCCACGCTGAAGCTGACAGGCTGTGACTGTCCTCTTGAGTCTGTTCAACAACGGGTCAGTCACTTTTTACCATTTTTTCTCTTTTTTTGAATATCACCCTGCGCTAACCATTCAAAAGCTATTAGAGTGGTGGGAAGGGGTTTATTTGGGCCGCTAGCAAAAATGGATAATTTGTGGAGTTCCATAAAATTTTAATAGATTGAGGAGTGGTCCATATGTTTGAAAAGGTATCCAGCCTGGATGTTACATATTGTCAGGCAACTACAGTGGATCCCATTACAAAAATTCAATTTTATCACTTATAGTAATTACATTTTCAGTATTATTTCTAGTATTCTTTTTCTCAGTATCTAGAATAAATACTGGCCTATGGCAAATACCACTGCATAGTACGTATTGATTTATTTAATGGTGCCCACTACAAAAGAACAGAGCAATAGAATGGAATAGGCTCAGAACCACTGTCCAGTATCCAGTCTCTGACAGTGGCCAATATCATCGGCTTTAAGGAAGGTGCAAAAACCACTGAGGTGGATGATTATGGTTATGGGTAATACATTTCCAGGGACAGATCCCTCCCAACATATAAAAGCTTTACGCCAGGCAAATACTTGTCAGGAATGATCTAGTAGCTGTTACTTAGTCCTACCTTGAAGCACATTTGTGAAACAAAGAAAACTCTTTTTCTCCAGGCCCCTGAAGCAAAGAAGAACAGCTGAAACTCAGAGCCAAAACCCCAGGACTCCACGTGAACTGAAGTCAGGAGCTGAGGCTCAAACCCAATCTGAGGCACCCTCTGCGGGACGAAACTGAGAGGTCCAAGGCTAAGTCCCAGAACCCTGAGCCTGGTGATCTCTGTGGAGCAGAAGCCCTGAGCTGATGAACATAGTTGTGGACATTGAGGGCATTGTCCCTCCCCCCCCACCAACTGCACCCTTCTAATACCACTATACCTTCTCCGTACCCTCTAGACAGGTTGGATGCAGGATTGGGAAGCTGGAGCCACTCAGTGTGGGACAGCAGCTGCTGCTCTGGCTGGTACCATGGAGCACATAGTGATAGCATTACCTTGTCTCCTGTTGGTGTCTCCTGTTGGTGGCTGAAGCTGCTCCTCAGCTCCCAGACCCCTTTCTCTCACAGAGGCAGCTAATAAAAGCACCCTGCCTGCAAATAGACCCTTACTACCACCTCCCTGCACACCAAGCCATTTTCAAACTTTTTGAGTTATCCCCCTCTCTCCCCACACACACCTTTGAATTACAGGCAGTCCCCGGGTTACATGGATCCGACTTACATCGGATCCCTACTTACAAACGGGGTGAGGCAACCCCGCACTAGCTGCTTCCCCCCAGCAGACCAAGGAGACGCGAAGCTAGCCCCTCCTCCCCCCCCCAGCAGGCCAGGGAGACGCGGAGCAGCTTTTCTCAGCAGACACCTCAGCTTGAGAATAAAGGACTGAGGGAAGTGAGGTGTGGGAGAATAAAACTGAGCTCTGGAGAAATGTTTGGCTAGAGTTTCCCCTACAATATGTACCAGTTCCGACTTACATACAAATTCAACTTAAGAACAAACCTATAGTCCCTATCTTGTATGTAACCCGGGGACTGCCTGTATAATTTTTCACTGTGCCTCTCCCTCAGAATGGCTTGGTGGCTGCTGAGGTGAGTCGGGGTGAAGGTGGCTCTCCTTCCCTGGACCCTCTGTGCAGAGCTGACTTGAGCTCTGCTGGCTCTGAACACCCTCACCCCGCACTAGAAGTCAAACTACACCTGTTCCCAAGGCTCCTTCCTCAAGGCCTGCACCTTCCCCATTGGGCCCTGGAGTTTTTAATAGCATGTTGAGGGGGCCTCAGAAAGGAGAAGGTTGAGAACCCCTGGACTAGCTGACCTATTGAAATCCTTTCCAGTCCTACCCTTCTATAAGCCTTTATAGCCTTTTCAAAATGCTCTTTTAAATATTGACTATGATAACTCTGATATTTCAGTCATCTATATAAATGTACAATTCTGTTTTGGAATCCTGTTATGTTCTTGTCCTCAATGATATCTTGTGTCACATAATTCCACAAAAGTGATAGAAATGTAGCCGTGTTAGTCTGGTGTAGCTGAAACAAAATACAGGACTATGTAGCACTTTAAAGACTAACAAGATGGTTTATTAGATGATGAGCTTTCGTGGGCCAGACCCACTTCCTCAGATCAAGTCATAATTCCACAAAGTACCTGTATGTTACTGATAAAAGGGAATATGTTGTTTTCAGGCCACATTTACCACATTTAATTGATTATCCCCTTGTTCTTATATTAGGAGAAAGATAAGAAACATCTGTTCATTTTATCTTTTTTAGACCATTCATTATTTTTTAGTCAGGAATCCAGAGTTATATCTTAAATCCCAATGTTTTGACTGTGTTCACTGAGGATCAAAACTATTGTGGAAATTGCAAACACAATTCCTTGTAACTGAGAAAAATCTCCACCATAATAATATTTTCTTAGCCATAGCAATGTTAACACACCCTAACTTTTTAATTGTTTATAGAGAGAACATAACATAAGAACATAAGAATGGCCATACTGGGTCAGACCAAAGGTCCATCTAGCCCAGTATCCTGTCTGCCGACAGTGGCCAACACCAGGTGCCCATGATCAACCAATTTGTCTCCTGCCATCCATCTCCCAGCCTTTGACAAACAGAGGCCAGGGGCACCATTCCTTACCCCCTGGCTAATAGCCTTTTATGGACCTAACCTCCATGAATTTATATAGCTCTTTTTAAAACTCTGTTATAGTCTTAGCCTTCACTGCCTCCTCTGGCAAGGAGTTCCACAGGTTGACTACACGCTGTGTGAAGAAGAACTTTCTTTTATTAGTTTTAAACCTGCTACCCATTTTTCATTTGGTGTCCTCTAGTTCTTATATTATGGGAACAAGTAAATAACTTGTCTTTATTCACCCTCTCCACACCACTCATGTATATACCTCTATCATCTCCCCCATCAGTCTCCTCTTTTCTAAACTGAAAAGTCCCAGTCTCTTTAGCCTCTCTTCATATGGGATCCATTCCAAACCCCTAATCATTTTAGTTGCCCTTATAAAAAATGAAACTGAAATCCTTGAGGAGCATCATTTCATAAGAATAAAAGCACAGACATGCTTCTATGCTAGCAAGGGCAACTTGTTAGTCATAGATTTTTTTTCAAAATTAATTTAAAATTAAAAAGAAACAGATTGTTTATAAAGATACTTAATGAATTAAAACTACAATTGCACTGCCTTGACATCTTTTATGTTGCCACTGTAACAGATCTCAGGTAAACATTTGTAATTTCTAGATTCTGGACTGACTGACAGTGGAAATTTGTGTCTAATTTTCTTGGGCACTTTTGAAAAACTCAGCATATGTTTAATAAAACCTCTCCTTCAGTACATCCTGGGTAACCCAGGCATTGGCAAATGTTTCATAATATTTCTATTTAAAAAGTATGAGCTTGCTGTAAGAGTTAGGAAATCTCCTAAGACATTTCAGGTACAATTTAAAGCACTTACCCATTAGGCCTAAGGTCAGGTAGTTGCCTATCCAATGGTAGGCGGTCACTCAAGTAAGCATTGTAGCCATAATACTGGAATTGTTTAAGGGCAATGCGCCTGTTTTCAGGACTGAGGTCCTGGCCCCAGTGTGCAAAGAGAGATGAGTCAGTGAAAGCTTCTGCAGGATTTTCTTCCAGCTTTGGTGGGGCCTCTATAAAATAAAGAGAAAGATATTTAAATCTTTAATTCAAAACAGCAACTAGACATTTCCAGAGCAGGAGCTTTCGTAACGCAGCTTTCTTTGCTCAGAAAACAAAACCCCATATAGAACATATGATTTCCATTTACTGCAGCCTTCAACTTTCTTCAGCCACCCAACCTTTCCATCCCAGAACATTCACTAAGTAATATTTTTGTCACCATATAATATTGCATCTAAACAGAACTGTATCATAATTAATGACACAGCATTCTCCCTCCCCCCACCCAATCTAACTGCCCATACAGTCTTTCTAGCAGAATTTATAAGACTATTTGCAATAGACCATTTGGTGAATCCACTCAGTGATACATGTATATTCTCAGGGACCATACAAAGCTAAAATTCTTACCTGACAACCCTGCTTAAATATTTTCCTATTCTATTAAGCTCAGTAAGAATGAAGGAGTACCTCACCAGCCCTTCATTTGTCATAGTTAACTATTGATTGACAAAGGAAAGGGATACCGAAAAAGGTTGCTATTTTTCTAGAAGTGCATACAGTTTAATGATTTTTTGAGGAGTAATGTTAGTTCAAACCAAGGGGCGCGCACTTCCTGGTTCGAATCAGCTGTTGAGCAGTGTAACGCGTCGGCGAGATCATGCTAATGAAGCACGGGATATTTAAATCCCCACTTCATTTGCAATTTCGGTCACCTACATTTGCATCCCTAGCTCAAACTAGGGAGCAAGTGTAGACGTACCCTTTATGAACAGCCTCCCTAGAGACTTTAACATGTACCCAGCTAAACAGCAAATCTCAGTTTAATATAGTTGCATTCACAAACTATAGCTCTTCATAAATGCAAGTCAGAAAGTATCTTTCCAGAAAATTTGAATGGAGTCTTCTGATGTCTCTGTTGTGCAATAGATTCATCAGCTCTGCCTCCAGAGATGGTACAATGACCAGCTCGACTCCTACACAATCACCCACAGACCCAAAGACAACTGCAGGCAGCAAGATAGAAATGTACAAAGAGAAATAGCTTATGTAAAATGACACTCCCTACCACCCGGGATCATAACTCTTGCCTTGTATCAGGAAGCCAATTCTTTTTTTTTTTTTTTTAACATAAATTGAGAAGATTAAATTGTTAGCTCTCTATGGGAAGCCCTTGTTTTTTTCTCTGATAACTCTGACTAGAGACTAATGAAGGGCTGGTTACTTGCATTAGCATCCAATCTCTGTAAATATATAGTGTTTCTTAATCTGTCACAGTAGCTTGTTACCGTTTGAGTGCTGAGATCAGCTCCATTTCACTTCAAGGATGAAAGACATGCTAAGCCCCAGTCAAACGAGAAAACCGCTCTAACAGACCTGATCAAGGTGATATCAAAACAGAATACAGATCCCATAATCAAATATGACTTTGCAATGACATTTCATTAGGAAAGGTCAACAAATTCATCTTAATGGCAAATGTGTCACCTGAAGATCCTACTAAATTGAGATAGGCAAGTTAATTTTTAACTTTCAGTCCAAGGATCATAGCCAAAGGTTGTTTCTTGACCACAACTCACTGATCCTCACTAGTTTCTACTCATACAAATAATCGGATTAATTATAATCGGATTAATTATAAAATTATGAAGATAACTCAGCCCACAGAATTCTTTTCTCAAGCCAATGGGAACTGATGGTGAATCAGTCTTAACTAGCAACTGAAAGATAAGATCGCGACCAGAATTTGTGACAGTTTATCAAGTGTCTATGAACAGGAGGGTTTCCTAGAGATATGCTATTTTCTTATTCACGTGGCAAAGTTATTTCAATAGTCCTTGGAGTTTCCTTAGCCACAGATATCAACACAAACGTTTTTAAGACTCTCCCAGCCAAACAGGCAAAATGTGATAGCTTTGTATACATGGAATGTCCATTACATTTAAATGTGCAGAACTAAGACAGCAGAGCTTCAGGGTTATGACAGCAAAAAAGGCAGGAATGAAAAATCATGAAAGACATAGGAAGACATCTAAGAAAAGTAATGTAAACAGGCATCTGCTTTTAAAAATCCCAATAGCAACCTGAAAAGACGAATTTTAAGGGCCAAATCCTTCACTCGGATCATTGCTGAGCAGAACATTAAGGGCATAAATTGGCATGATGTAAGTGAAAGGTGTCAGATACAGCTCTGTAGGCTATAGTCTTATATGTACCAAAAGGTTACGCACAGAAACAGCAATATCAAGCCAAGTTTCTCCCATAGTGTCTTGTTGATGTACCTCAACCTTGACCAGAAGAATCATCTCTAATTCTGAGAGAGTACTTCGATTTCTAGACTTCTACCTCTGCTGCAGAAAAATATTATCAATTACTTGAAGGGTGGATTTTTGTGACATGGACATCTTCATGTGCACTGGAACTAGACTAAATTAAACAGCTCATTCACAAACATGCAGGAAAACAGTATTCAGGTGGTAATCACAAAATCATAGAATACTTGGACTGGAAGGGACCTCAAGAGGTCATCGAGTTCAGTCCCCTGTTCTCATGACAGGACCAAGTACTGACTAGACCATCCCTGATAGACATTTATCTAACCTACTCTTAAATATCTCTAGGGATGGAGATTCCACAACCTCCCTGGGCAATTTATTCCAGCGTTTGACCATGCTGACAGGAACTTTTTCCTAATGTCCAACCTAAACCTCCCTTGCTGTAGTTTAAGCCCATTGCTTCTTGTTCTATCCTCAGAGTCCAAGATGAACAAGTTTTCTCCCTCCTCCTTATGACACTCTTTTAGATACCTGAAAACTGCTATCATGTCCCCCTTCAATCAGTAAGAAACTGGCTTCACTACTAGCCACATTACTTAAAACCTTGTGAAGAGATTGAGTACTGTGTGTCTCATTCCCTTGATTCTCCACTTTAGAGACAGGGCATTATGTATCCTCCATGCCTTTAGGTCCTCTTCTCTTCCACATCTCTCCTCCCCTAAACAGACTAATACGAATTTCAGCAATGGAGGTCTGCCTCCAAGTTGGGAAACACTGCAAATATTTTGAGTTATTTTTATCAGTTAGAAAACTAACACCCTGACCTACAGAAGTATCACATTCTTCTAATCTTTGTGCAGATACCTTAATCAACACATTCAAGACAGAAAATTCCACTGAGAATACCAAGGGTTAGTCTTCAAAAGGCGAAAAGCAAATATGAACAATTCACACTGCAAGAAGTTGACATTTTTGAAGTTATACATGAAGATTGACTCCTCTCTTCCTTCTCCGTCCTAACATTTAAAGAAAAAGGTTGTGCTAATCTGGATTTCTCCAATTTGGCTACGCTGCCTATCAAATGGGCCCCTGTCTCAAGGGAATCAGTTTGTCCCATGCGCCTTTATCTGTAGTGCTCCGACGTCACTCGTTACACGGCCACGCCTCCCTGCTTGCGGGGTGGGGGTCTGGGCCCTCCCTCACTCCCAGACCCCAGCCCAGGACCCTGACACCAGGAGCTCGGCTCCTGATGGAAGCAGGTGGGGGCTTGCCCCTAAACTCACCTGCTCATGGGCTCCATGACCCTCCCTGGGCTCTCTCAACCTCGCCAACGGTCTTAGCCGTTCTCCTCTCTCTCCCCAGCTCCGTCCGGGGTTTCCTCTAGCCCTTCCCTCTCTTTCCCCGTTGACTCCGTTACCTTGCTTCTCTCCTCGGTCTCTCCTTCCTCCCTCTCACCTTCCCCGGCCATGTCTTTATCTCCTGCATGCTGCCCTTCCCCCTCTGCTTCCGGGTGCCCCACCCTGCTTGCTCCTGTCATGCTGGTGACATCAGTTGACGTCATCAGCGTGCGCCGCTGTCCGCCGCTACTCCCACCCTCCAGCTGTCCGGCTGCCCCGTCACCCGCTCGCGTCTCTGCCCCTGCGTCACTCAGCTGCTGGCGCCCCGGCGTTGCCGCGGCCCACCCAGCGGCTTCCCCACCCACAACCAGCACCCCGGGCTGTCGCTGGTGACGGGGTTGCTTCACCCTGTCACACTGCCTCTGAAGGTTTCAAAATGTTATATTCATGCATTATACTTTCAAACATATGGCTGACAAAATATGATCTACTCAAAGCATCTCTTGAGAGTTAAAAAGTAGTCCAATAAAGAAGTAATAAATAAAAGGATTAAATTTGGGGTAATAGACAGATGTACATGCACAGACTTGTAGATACCATAAAGTTCCTTTTCCATACAACTTTATCCCAAGTAACCAAACACTGTTCTTGCTTTTCTGTTTTTCATCTCTAACATTGCCGAAAGAGTATTTCCTGAGAAGATTCATTAATCTCTTGCTATTTTGTAATTCAAACAGCATTCAGCCATCAAAAAGTTAGGAACAAGACTCTTGAGCTACTGGATAGCTCTGAAGATAAAAATGGTTTTCAAAATTCTCACAAAGCACTTGACTGTTTTTCAAACACTGAGGGTATGTCTACACTAGCCCCCTAGTTCGAACTAGGGTGGCTAATGTAGGCATTCAAACTTGCAAATGAAGCCTGGGATTTAAATAAATAAGTCCCTAGTTCAGATTAACTGTTACTCCTCCTGCAATGAGGTGTAACAGTTAATCTGAACTAAGGACTTAGTTCGGATTAACTTCTGACTGCCACGTGTAGCGGTGGGCAGTCAGTTCGAACTAAGGGGATTTAAAAATGGTACCTGCCCAGGAACATGCAAATGAAGCCTGGGATATTTAAATCCCGGGCTTCATTTGCAAGTTCGAATGCCTACATTAGCCACCCTAGTTCGAACCAGGGGGCTAGTGTAGACATACCTAGAGTGACCACTTCATTTCACTGTGAGAATAAGAGAAAAATAATGATGCTAGTAAAAAATTCATTGGTTATTGAATTCAATTGGACATGAGCATAAATTTCTAATGGCAACATCTGCCTCCCTTTGTTTGCCTGAAAGTACTCAGATAATAACAGAGGACTTTAAAGTAGTCCCTAACAATAAATAAACCACTTCGGAGTAGTCAATGTGCACTGATCTATGTCTTTGAAGACAGAATTTGTCCTTAAATCTTATATTCAATCCTCACTCTTAGAAATATAAAAGGTTACTACTTCTGAAGTTGCTGAAATGGCCATGGGAAGCAAAGACCTGGAAGTGAAACAATACATTTATACTACCCGATGAGCTATTAATTTAGACACATCTCTCTGCTCAGATATCAGTCAGTTAGGTACATCAGTTCATTGTCTCATATGACATCTATCAGGGATGATCTGGATGGTGCTTGGTTCTGCCATGAGGGCAGGGGACTGGACTCAATGACCTCACCAGATTCCTTCCTGTTCTAGTGTTCTATGATTCTGTGTTTCCTATGGGAAGGGGACCTACATTAGTCTGCAGCAATTTGCTATGGATGTTAACACAGGCCTTATCTACTTGAACTTGCCTATGCCCTGTAAAAGGAACCGGTATTTGTAGCCATTGCAGTTATTATTAGCAGCTTGTCATGTTGGCATTTAGCTACTGTGGTGATAGGTCTCTTAAAAGCACCATAAACTAGATGGACAATATCCAGCTGTGTTACTGAGGCAAGGTGGTCCAATAGCCACACACAATCTTGCCTGGGTCTGATCACATGCTGGAGTGTCCATCAGAAGAAGCTCATCTATTTTGTAACCAATCACTGACCTACAACATGTTTATCTTGCACTGCTTTCTGGTTAGGGTTGCCAGATGGTTTCAATGAAAATAGTGGACACACCTGACATTACATCACAATCTACATTGCATCTTATTTAGAAAATAACGGACATTTATATTTTCTCAATTTGTTTCCCGAACAGAAAGCTCAAATACTGGACTGTCCGGTTCAAAACTGAACACCTGGCAACCCTATTTCTGGGCTATGGTTATTAGTTCTCTTGCTAACCTCCATGATGAATTTCACCACTGCTACTTCTGACCTCCTTAACTGCAGCTCCAAAGACAGAAATTCGCCTTCCACTTGTATTTTTTTATTATACCGTAGCTAGCAATATTCTCCCCAGTCTGACTTTAGCTGGCTACATGGCACACTACAGGGAAACTTGAGGTCAGAAAGTGTCAGTAAGAGCCAGCATGTATCTTACAACAAGATGGTTCCTTCTTAGTACTACAATGCCCCCTGCACAATTCTTAACAAAAAGCTTCTGTTTCAAATACAACCAATCTTATTAAAAGAAATAGAAATAGATTGATCCTGCCTTGGGTAGGGGGCTGGACATGATGACCTCCTGAGGGCTCTTCCAGATCTATGATTCTAAGTGACTTAATTCAATGAAACTCCCACACCATTTTTAACACAATATTTTTGTTATGATTTTGTTTGGGGTTTGTTTAAAAGTTATGTTAATTGATTAACAACTTAAACCAGTGTTGGCAAGGAGGGGTGGGGCTGGGGCTGGAGCTGGAGTGCCCCCCGCCATCCACAGTGTGCTGTTCTGGCCAGGCCAGGCCTGCCACAGGCAGAGACTACTTCAACCCCTGCTGGTTAACCGTAACTGAGAAGCATCACCCGGTAAGTGTAATCCCTCCACAGAATTCTTTTGCAGTGTCTCTGCTCCCCCCTCACCTGCTCAGGGTATGTCACACAGAAGTTGGGAAGGTGTTTCCTGCAGTTCAGCCCTAGAGATGTACTACCTCTGCATAGACTATAATGCCAAAAACAGCAGTGAGTGTCCACGGATGGAGCACATACCCTGTAGGTTAGGTTGAATTGTACTCAATTGGCTTGCCTGTGCCACCCTGCAGCTACAGCACTATTTTTAGCATGGTAGCTGGAGGAGGACTAGCACATCTGTCTATCCATACAGGAAAGCATCCTCCCACAGCTACACACTCACCCTCACTCTCTACATACATTGAGTCTATGGTGGAGGGTTGGTGAGATAGAATTTTGAGTAAGTAACCTATAGACCACCTAAAAGCTTCATTGTTCATAACAGTCTGATAGAAACTATTGCTATTTATCATACAACCAGACTTTCCGCTCATAGCTGATAACTGCATGGTTTACTTTTCAAATTCTGGATGGCAAAAATTGCAGAATTGTTATACTACTCCAGCTACTCCATGAACTGGGCTACGTCTACACTGGCCCCTTTTTCGGAAGGGGCCCTATTCCGGAGGATCTCTTATTCCTACTTCTCTTATTCCTACTTCAAAGTAGGAATAAGAGATCCTCCAGGATCGCGCCAGTCTAGACGCTTTTTTTCCAGCTTTTCCCCAAGCCGGAAAAAAAGCGGCGGACCTGTTTATTTAAATCCGCGGGGGATATTTAAATCCCCCGCGGATTTCCCTATTCCCACTTTCAAAATTAGCATGCCCCTTCCAAAAAAGGGGCCAGTGTAGACATAGCCCTGGTGTTTTTATTGGAAGTTACGTTAATACTGCATTTATGAAGCCCCTTTATCCATAGTTAGTATCAGCTTTTTATACTAACATTAGCAATCTTTTAAAAACTAATTTCCAGCATGAAGCCACTGAACAAAAGAAGTTACAAAAATAAAACTAATTCTTTTCTTGCATGTTAGATTTATGGTGATAGCACGTAGCAGCCGTAGCTATGGATCACAACTTTGCTGTGTTTGGTATTAGACAGAATAGAAAGAGTACACCTGCCCGGCTGCACTTGCCGCAGGCTGCCATCCGGGGGGTCAATCGGGGGGCTGCAGGAGAGTTTCCACCCCGAGGAGCCCGCAGAGCCACCCCAGTCCTCTTCATCGGGGGCTCGTACCCCATTCCTCCCTCACCTCCTTCCATTCACACATCCCTAGCCCCGCTTCCTGATGTACAAAATAAAGGACATGTGTGGTCAAAAATAGAAATGCTCTTTATTTAACAAAACTGGGGGAGACTGGGAAAAGGAGTTGGGAGAGGGGAAAAGAGAGGGGAGGGCAACTAAAATGATCAGGGGTTTGGAACAGGTCCCATATGAAGAGAGGCTAAAGAGACTGGGACTTTTCAGCTTAGAAAAGAGGAGACTGAGGGGGGATATGATAGAGGTCTATAAAAGCACGAGTGGTGTGGAGAGGGTGCATAAAGAAAAGTTCTTCATTAGTTCCCATAATAGAAGAACTAGAGGACACCAAATGAAATGAATGGGTAGCAGGCTTCAAACAAAAGGAAGTATTTCTTCATGCAGTGCATAGTCAACCTGTGGAATTCCTTGCCAGAGGATGTTGTGAAGACAAGGACTTTAACAGGGTTCAAAAAAGAACTAAATAAATTCATGGAGGTTAGGTCCATCAATACTTATTAGCCA